TATGTATATATATATGTATATATATATATATATATATATATATTTTTATTTTTTTTTATTTTATTTATTTTTTTTTAAAATAGATCAATAATTAGTAAAAGGCTAGTGCAGTAGTTTTATCAAGAACAAAAAGAAAACTGCAACGAAACTTAACCTGATTAAAGAAAAGGTATGAAATATGTTGATAAAAAGCTGATAAAAAAAGAAAAAGAAACTTTACCGAAAGGAGTAAGCGGCTGCTTTCAGAACCACACTGCTCAATTGCTGTCAAAGCAAAAGGCTCTTTGGCCTGGACCTCTCTTCTCCCCCGGTCTAAACACCTCAGTGGCTGATTGACTGAGTGCACTCAGCTGTGCACAGGACACTGGCTCCACAGGAGCAGATGCAGTACCTGAAACAGGACGTAGAGAGAGCACAACACCAGCGGCGACTCACAATAGATCTGCGGTGATGTAACAACCAAAATCACATCTTAAGAGCTTTATTCTTTATTTTTTACAAACCACTTTACTTCAACAAATTGTAAAGTTGAAGAATGATGCTTTACAAATGCCAAGTTCTCACAGCTCCTTGCACTATTATAACTGGTGAAGCAGTTTTGGAATTCAAAAGCCTGTGTTCAAAACCCAGGCGTGTGAGAGTGAGTGTTTGGACCCACTGTGCAGCTTTTAAACTGTCTTAAACTGATGCTGGGATAAGCACTGTGTTTTTGTTGTTGTTTGTTTTTTTGTGTTTCTTTCTTTTTTCTGCCATTGTGGGAAAAAATGTTCAAATATTTCCCGTGTTGTCATTGAAAACCTCTTACTTTTTTGCTGCCGTTCAACAGTGTGCTGATAGATCAGTAAACTGCACCAGTACTCAAAAAGGTTGTGAGTTCAATTCTTCCCTGAGGCAAGAGTGATGTCTGGATAAGCAGTGTAATCTTTTTACACTGATACCATAAATATTAGACTTATTTTAAAATATGCATGCGCTGTATGTGCTGCTTCAGTCATATGCTAAAGTCGTTATTAGCGTGAGAAGTATGGGTAGTGACAGCCTCCCTTGTGCAGGCTGCGACTCGTACGGGGATTGAAGTCATCCTGAATGTGAGAAATTTGGCTTGAGGTTGAATTCTTGGAAACAGAATCATCAAGCTTTCACGATGATGTAACCAATTATTTGACTGCACAGCAACATTACTTTCCCGAAGCGTCATCACCTGCCAAGATGCATATTAATGCCCTCCCTTGTTTATGAGTACATTTTTAATGGTAAATCATGTGTATTGATTCCCCTCAGGCTGGGCCCAGCGGCGTCTTCTTTCCATGGACACAGAGGACTTTGAGACGATTCCCTCCAGCGCAGAGGAATCCTCCAACTCTTCAGACGAGGAAGGCAACAATAAAAATGTAGGCAACATTTAAGTCTGCTGCCCACATCAGCTAAAAAATGTAAAGAGGTGAAGCTCAGATATGATTTGCTACATCACTGGATCATTTTGAAACTTTATTTAAGAGTGAAACTTAGTAAAACGGAATGTTGCAAATGATTTTGTCCAGAATTGAAACCAGGTGTGACAATTTCAGCAACAATTAGCATTATTAAACTTTTGCCCGAGTGAGGAACGTAACTCAACTGCACTCATTCGACTCCAGCTGAGTCATGTCAGCTGTCAGATAAATCATGACATTTTATGATCATGAACCATCCCCCAACTGCTATACACTCATCTCTCATTGCCTCTTCACCCATTCTTCATTTTCCCTTCTTTTTCACTAAATCCCATTTCAATCCCCCTAAAGGAGGACCCCTCCACAGCTTAATTATTTCCCATGTTCTCCCTTCTTGTTAGCAGCAGGCACTGACCACTTGACATTTAGGAAATGAGGGGAAGATGAAAAAGGGGTAGGATTTTAACTGCACGTGTCTGCCGAATATGGTAGCATTCCCACATCCATTATAATCTGTGTGACGTACACGCACGTGCACACTATCGACATGAGGACTGAGCACGTTAGTGATGCAGGGAATGTAGCAGCTTAGAACATACATTTGTAGGACACTTTATTAGGTACTTAGCTAGATGTAGGATGGACTACATTTTCCCGTCAGAACTTCACAGTTGCTGCAAATTTGTCAGGTGCATGTCCATGATGTGAATCTCCCGTTCCATCATATCCCAAATGTGATCTGCTAGATTGAACTCATTGTCAGCTCACGTCATAAAAGCTCAGATGATCTGAGCTTTTATGACGTGGTGTGTTATCCCGCTGGAAACAACCATCAGATGATGGGTAAACTGTGGTCATAAAGGGATGGACAAGATCAGCAACAGTACTCAGGTGGGCCGTTGCACTTAAATGATGCTTCTCAGCAGGTAATAATGGGGCCCAAAATGTGCCAAGAAATCAGCCCCCATTCCATTACACCACAACCACCAGCCTAAACTGTTGATACGTGGAACCATAATGTCTAAAGCATGGATCTTTCTGCTCAGGTCCTGCCTTCCAAATGCTGTAGCACAAAACCAAGACTACTCAGATTTGGTGTTTTTCAGATCTTCTGTTGTCCATTTGTAAATTGCTTGTGTATATTGTAGTGTCAGTTTCCTGCCTTTAGTTGACAGTAGTAGTTTTCTGTTGCTGTAGCTCATCTATTTCGAAGTTCAGTGTGCTGTGTATTCAAACGAGCTCTTTTTCATACCTTGGTTGTAATAGTTATCTAACACACTGTTGCTTTCTTATCAGCTTAAAGCAGTCGGAGCATTCTCCTTTGACCTCTGACATTAACAAGGCACTTTCACCCAGAGAACTGCTGCTAACTGGATATTTCTCTCTTTTTCAGACCATTCTCTGTAAACCCTAGAGGAAGTTGTGTGATTAAAATCCCACTAGATCAGCAGTTTCTGAAATACCTAGACCACCCCGTTAACAACCATGCCACATTCAAAGCCGCCTAAATCACCTTTCTTTCCCATTCTGACACTTGGTCAGATCACATCATGTTGATCTTGTTTTGGGTTGTTGCCATGTGATTGGTATATTAGACAAGAGCATATCTGTGTTAACAAGCAGTTAAACAGATGTACTTGACAAAGTGGAGAGTATGTTTGCATCATGCAGTCAATCACAATTTAAATTGTGTTCATCTGCAACAACAACAACTAAATAATCCCACATGTGGATGCAACTCAGATAAGACAAAGAAAAAATTGGGACATTTAATCCCTGTGGTGTGCATGTACCTAAAGACCCTATAAATCTTATAATCATTAACTTATTTATTACTATCTAGTACTACAAGAATAGCAAAATAAATGAAGTCCAATGTCTTGTCATTGGTATATTTAAATTTAAATGCTTTTATCTGCTGTCTTTGTTTCATTTTGTAGGGTATTGTTTATTACTCAGCAGTTAGAGTAGAACAGTACCACAGTACAGCAGAACAACTTTAAGCAGTAGCTTAAAGTCTTGGGATTGGCTAAATGTTGAATTTGAAAACCATTTCTTTCTGCAGGGTGACAGCAGCCGTTTCCGAGTACAGCTAACATACGAGTCTCGTGATCCGCAAGACCTCTCTCTGGAGACAGGTGACCTCGTCCAGTTTGTGGAGGAAGCAAAGAATGGAAACTGGTAGGTTTTTGTTTGTTGGTTGAACCACAGGATTATTTAGAATGTCCCCCCCCCACCCGCCATCCATTGATTGGCTGCTGGATACCCTCCACACAGCCCTCCCTTCAAGTTTTTAAATTTCTGTTTTTAAGATATTGTATTCCTAAATAAAACTGAGCAAACATTACAGGGAATTTTACACCATATACCTTTAGGGCATTCATGTTGCAAAAAAAAAAAGAAATTGCTTGGAGAATATTTAAATATTTTATTACTGAGGGACCTAAACAGTGATGTACAAAAAGTGTTGAAATTATTTTGCATAATTGTGTGGCAACACATTTTTAGGCAATTTATGAGGTGTGATCAAAAAGTTCTGGGAATGGGCCTCTCAGCAGGTGGCAAGCAAAGATTGTGTTGATGTGACTGGAAAACCTTTCAGAATATACTGTGCCAGCACACTATCACACTCTGGCAAGCACCAGTGTTCTGGTCAGTTTCTCCCTCAAGCGTTATGAGGGTACAGTAGAAGTCCATGTTGACAGCCTCAACCTGGAAGATTAATTCATGGTGCACAATCCAGTGAATGTCGCAAAAATAATGAGCGCTGCCTGCTCTCGGTCCTCACCCGAAGCACTGCCTCAGGGCTTGGAAACTGTGGACTCTTCCATTGAAACCTCAGTTGTAACTGGAGACCCAGTTCTCATTACCAGTAATGAGCCTCCACACGAAATTCATGCAAGTTTGTAAGAAAAGTTAACATTGGGTTACTGCGTATGTTTGAGGATTGCAGTAAAACCACAGAGTGGAATTTGGCCAGTGCGAAGGATCAAATCCCTTATATAGATCCAAATGTGGCTTCCTTCATGACATTGAAGGGGCCAAATTTAAATAGGGTAGGGTTTTGTTTTTTTTAAAGGCCAGTTATTGAAACCTTTTGTTCACACACAAAAAAGACTGCACATTGAGCTACAACACCTTCTCTGCAGCTCATAAAGACATGCCATACCCCCAAAACTCACACTTGGACACCTTAGACCAGATGTCCATCCCTTGTTGCTTAGAGCCTCTAATTTGATTGTTTAACCAACTTTTGAGAAACTACATTTTCAACCAGTTTCAGCAGAGGTGGACTGTTGGTTTCAAAAAAGTTCAGGCCTTAGCTTTTAAAAGTTAGTACCTGAGTCACGGACACCATGACATTCCCCAGCACCCTTATTAACCACCTCCAGTCGCTAGAAGCTTAGTTTATACTCTGTTTTCAACACAGACAGAAGACCTGATGGCCGAGCAGCCATTCTTAGTATATTTTCTTGAAGTCCATTTGAACTCCAGTGCCTGGGGCACAGGCATAGTTTGTGCATTGTAATTTAAATTCTCTGTAGAAAAGTCAGTGCAGTCACAAAAAAGCCAGACAGGCAGACTGCCTGCACAGATCCTCACACTTGTTGTCTGATGATTAAATTTAGGTCGTTTGGACATGAGCACAGCTAGGTGGACTTGTGGACATAGTATATACAGTATAATGTAGACTTCAAAGGTATTTTCTGGGATAGTACAATAGGTCATACAGTAGAGGTATCAATGTTTCTCCAGAAATATATTGTTTGCCTCATTGCTATTTAGCCTGCACTAATCATCCAGCTATCAGTTCTTTAAAAATGGAACCATTCTGTGTCCTTTTATTCATGCATATCTGACACCAAAATCATGTGCTTGATTGAAATAGTCTTTGTACCAACGGATTTCTATGGAGCTATTTTGTTAATTGTAATTATGAAATTACCAGTCATTTCTGACAGTGTGTCTTTGTGTCACCCTCATCATTGTTTGTCTTTTGTCTGTTCAGAAAGCATCAGCACAAAGACCAGTAAGTGTTAAAAAAAATGAAAAAAGCTGTTAACAGCCTGGTGCAAAAGCTGTTCTGCGCAGTGGGAGTCTTTTGTAAAATAACCCATGAACTTGGGTACTTTTATGGCTTGAAGTTGGGCTATGGTTGCTTTGATTAACACTGAGCCTACCAGGTTTCATTATGTCTTTACAGCAGTAAGGTAATAGCAGTCTACTCAGCCTACAACATAGTGGATGAGTCCGACTACCATCACCATGGGAGTGACAACAGGCAGCGGCCACTTTATGGGCTGATAGCATTTGAAAGAGGGAAAAAGAGCCGAATCAGATAAGCTGAATCTATCCTTACTGACAAAGTACCAAGGAAAAAAGAAAATGAACCTTTCAGAAAGGCAATATTTCCATGCATAGCCCATGTGTATGACATTGAATTATTGTTATTGTTGATCTTGTGTATTTTTGCATAAGAATTTTGCAGTTCCACTGCTATCTGTAATCATTACCCACAGCACGGCTTCCCTGTTTAAAACTACCTTCAATTCAACCACATTAATCAAACAAGCTCAAGAGAGGAAATGAGACTTGTGCAACGGGATGCTTCTTTGCTGCCCTGTTCTATCTTCACAAGGATTAAAGGCTGAGAGTGACTCACAAGGAATTAAAATTTCATTGACTGTAACTTTATCCTGATGAAGCAGTAGGAACACAACAAAACGTGTGACTGTTGCTAAATCAAGGAAGGTTGCAGAAAACAATGGCTTCAGATTAATAATAAATCACTGTTTGATTCACCTCACCAACACCATCTTTGCTTTTGACCTGACAGGGAAGCAGCAGCTACTGCCTGCTTGGATGAGCAGCCTCTAGAAAGTGAGCTGAAAGAATGTTTTGAGCTCATGCAAGCTCCTTGCATTAGAAAGTGATTAATAGTCTACGAGATAAAAGCTCAACTTGCTTTAAATATGCTCATTTTTCATCACCTCATGCATATTTCAGCCCTTAAAACAGTCTCCTGTCGACTCCATCTATGGATTTTTGCCGCTAAAAGGTCTCAGTCACTCATTCTCATCTCTGCTCTACGCTTGAGGAACATGAAGAATTCATAAGTTTTCTCTTTTCATTGGTTCTATTGCTGTCATATAGAACACAACTGGCACAAAAAGGACTACTGCAGTGTCATATAAAACTCGATGTGTCCTGTATACTAATATATGTCCATTCATTTGTGTATGTCTTTGTTTACCTGGTGCACGCTGTTTTTGTGTATTTAGATTGTCCACTGTGCATTTGTGTTGTTATGATTGTGTATGCACTGCTGAAGTCAGTTTTTCCAACAGGAACAGTACCATGCTTACTAACATACCCCCCACCCCCCACCCCGCCCCATGAGTGTCTTGCACCTTTCCAGATTTAGGCTTTCACTTCACGTCTGCACCACACGCAGTGTTCCTGTCCCTGTTCCTGTGGGTTTGTGTGGTATATTTGTCTAAAGGCTAGACAGCACACCCAGCCACACCCTGTCAACACTAATTTACATATGAGAGGAATAAACAGAGACGTACTTCACTCTAATGTGAAAGAGGAGAATCAAGAAACAGCTTCCCTACATCCTCTGTCAAGTCTTCAGAACTGCCCATCCAGTGAAAGCCATTGGCACCATAATTCCAGATGGAATTAAAGTCTGTTGTCATACTAGCCTAAGGATTGCCATTCATGTCAGATTACACCTTCAGTGTGCACATATTCTTTTTAAAAACATTCATTAAGGCTTTACCTGGTTCACCTAATCATAATTTATTTGCAAAATTATGGTAAATATACCATAAGTAATATACATATTTCAGATTTCTAGTATGGTCTGTTAATATGACTAACTATATAGTAAGCTATGTTATGTGTCAGATAATAACTTTAAAAAAGCTCACAGGACTTGTAACCTTAAAAAGAAAGAAAATGGATTTTAGGCTCGTGTCTTAAACAGATCTCCTGTCTCCACTGACAGTAATGCATGTTTTGGCCCAGGTGATGATAGTAGTGGGATGCATTGAATGCACAACAGTCATCTTTCTGTCTTGTAAACTGTGTGACCATCACGTTCATTTCAGTGTTTATAAAATGAAATTTATTATCGATCTGTCTTGGTTTTTTCAATATTTGGCCTAATGACTCAGTTTTCCTGCAGGCAGAAAGCTAGTGCAAAGATAAACATAGTTTCCTTGCACAGGTTGTCATAGGAGCAAATAGGATACCTTGGAAACAATGGGTGAAGAGATGATTTTTTAATATAAACCACATAAGCATAACCTGGTGGCCTGGCAGTGTTGCTAATGTCCAGTGCTGGATCTTTTTAATGCAACTGATCAACAACGGTAGTCTTCACATAAAATCTAAATCTTTATTGCAATTATACTAAAAATACAATGAAATGATATATGGTCCCATTCAGTGCAAAGAAAGCAACCTAACTATCTTAAACTTTCATTCTAAGAACAAAAAATTTAAAAGAAGACAATTTCTATTAAGTAAATATAGTATAAAAATATAAATAAATATATATGTAAATATATGCTGATGTTTATGCATTTGTGCTTGAGTCATTATTGATTGCACAGGTTAGTAAGGCGGGCATACCCTTCAGTTTTCATTTATTGTTTATTACTTATTATTGCAACAGCCCTGTGATTTATGCTGTTTTTCAGTCTTTGTTTTAGCATTCTGAAGAATGCTAATAACACTGATGCTCATATTTCAACTACTGTCTCTAATTTGAGGGAGGCACATGTTTTTTGCAAGGCTGACACAGTAGCAGCTTCAATTATTATCTAATTATTATTATTTTTAATAGGATGACAGAATTTGGTGTGAGGAAAGACAGGAGGGTAATGACTCACAACAATTATCAGGCCAGCCACAAAGCTCATCAATGAAAGCTCAGAAAGAGTCCTGATCACCATCAAACAACAGTAAACTGCATTTATTTTATGTTAAGACGCTACTTACTGTAAAGTTCCTACCTTGTCACCTTCAACACTAAATAAATCAAAAGATGTGTAGAAGTTTAACAATGTGAACCCTGCTTGTGGCCATGAAAAACATCAGCAAACACTACGCTGCAGCACATGAGTCAGTTTTGTTCCCTGACTGATACATTTCATTGCAGTTTGGCAGTGCTGATTGCTGAATCAATGCAAGCACAAATAATGTCTGGGGGAAAAGCTGTTATCCTTCATATTTATGTGCACCACAGACATATTAATGCTTGATGTTACTCATTCATAATACTCTTCCAACTTTCCTGTGCACTAACAGCATCCCAGTCTGCACACCCTGTATATCTTTCCTGAAGAGGTCGAAATAGTTTTTCTGCTTGTAAAGAAGTCCTGCACAACGTGCCTGCAGGGACATTTAAAAGATCATTGCTACAAAATTTCACTTACACCATGCAAAAATAAGCCTTTGGTAAAAGTTACTAAGGTTCTGATATCTGGGATTAGTAGCAGTGCAAGTCATGATAAAAGGGGTGTGTTATTTTTTTATTTTTTTATTTTTTTAGCTAACTTTATAAAAACGCTTGGTTGGCTAGTAGTAGTTCACTGTTTTTATGAGGACCCAAACAGTAAACGGTAAAAAATAAACACATTTAATGTTAATTTTGCAGGATTTATTCCCCTAAAAGGCCTTTATTGGTTCACTTTTTGTTTTTAGTTTGTGTAGCAGCTACCAAAACCTCAATAAATGACTATAAATTCAGAAAAAGGTCAGTGTAACCCATGCAATAATTCATTTATTTAGTTTCGATATCATTCTTCTTATATATAGGGAGATTATTTTCCTTTGAATTGTACGGAGCTACCAAAAGGTCACAGTGGGATTTTTTTATTTTTTATTTTGCATTACCTCTCAATAACATTTGCATTTCTTCTGACTCACAGAGAGAGACTGAGCTGTATGATTATACAGAAGCATGTATTATTTAGTAGGCCACCACTGGTTGTGACAGCTGCAAGAATCAGTGCACCCTCGGCTGTGGCTGCCCTGTACCACTAGAACGAAAACACGATCTCTTACTGACTGCTGCTGAGAAAGTCTGTAGTTTCAGCTGTGACTGCAGAAGTGGAATGACACGGCTGTCGCAGTGATTGTATTTGTGTTCATTACTGTGCTATCGTTTTTATAATTATGGCTTAAATTTGTTTTTATTTAATAAGTGAAATAATATGCACCAAGGGCTGTGTGTTATGCTGGAGCTACTGTATACCTGAACTCTTGTGCTTCACATGGTATGACTGCAAATATATAATACTATGTATATTTTAACTTATTCTTTAAAAATAAGTAATGAATGCAAAATCATCAGGTGTCTCTCTGCACTCTGTGTTCTTTTGATCGGCACACTAGCTACACATATGGATTAAAAGGAACACAAGAATAATAAAAATGCTTCTGAAAGGGGCTGTGACCTTTCACAAGCTGAGCAGAATTGTATGCTTGCTGCTTTACAGGTATTTCATTTACAGTTTTTGACATTAATATAATATTTCAAATAACTTCCTGGCAGAGCCTAAAATAAACATTGGTGACATTTTGAAATCTATATTAAATAAAGTTCTAGCATCATTAGTCATGATTTTGTTTGTGCTAAAACCTTCTTGTTCCCCTGTGCTGTCATACTTGGTCATTAATATGAACAGGCATTATCAGGATTCACTGAGAATTCACCATAACAGATAATTTCAAATTAACTTATGTGGTTCGTGGCTTTAGTCCACAGACTTATTTTCCTGTAAAGTTATTATTTTTGTTTTTAACTTCCTTTGGTTCAGCAGTTTGCTTCTGGAAATGAATGACCTATAATAAAAACGTATCGCTGCAATTACCTTACTCCTGTGTTTGAGTGAAGACCTTCCTCTCTATTGTGTTTCATGTCCTAGGCTAGTCAAGAACCTTTTAACAGAGAAGACAGGGTTGGTCCCATCCAGTATACTGCAAACAGCATCAGAAGGAGGTCACTCAATTCAGTAACAACACTGCAGCTTCTGACTAACCACTGGCAGCTTTGCTGTAACACACTCACTCACCACCCCCTCCATACCACCCATTAATCCCACTTCATGTGCTCCTCTCCTCACTCTCCGATGTTAGTTGCACCAAATTAACTGGGTGGTCCACCTGCTGTTGGAGAGGAAGGAGAAAAGGGATGAAGTGGAGGGGGATGGAAGAGTTTTGGCTTGAATGCAAATGCCACTGACTGAAACACATTCATCTCTCTCTCTCTGTCTCTGTCTCTCTGATTGATGTTAGATAAACCTTCACTTGTTTTTTGAATTGTCAATTTTAGGTAACTGATGGTTAGATTCAGACTTTGATACCATGAAATTAATAATTACCTGGGACATGGCAGACTATTTCCAGTTGCAACAATAAAGCTGTTACTGGCTTTCAATCAGATGCTTTCATTCGTCAACTCTTTAGAGCAGTTAAATCAAGCTGTTTGTCATTTCTCCCACTTCGGGCAGGTGTGTAGAGTAGGTATACTTGACTAAGACCCCATAGAGGGAGGCTAGTTATGCTACTCCTGGGTAGATTCTGGGTGGAGCATAACTAAGTGAACATGAGCCAACCCAACTAGCATTAGCATGTTGCAGTTTTGCATAAAGTGGCTCCTGCTGCTAGTCATGCTCGCAGTATAGTTGTAATTTGAAGAATTAACCAGCTAGCTACTATAGCAGCTGGTTACAACTAGCACTGTTTCTGTCACAGATATCGTCTATATTCACTCAGCACACATTATTTTCTTTCCTGTATATCTATTCTTGCTTCCATCCCATTTACATTTGACAAATAAACAGAAATTTCTCACGGCATACTCACGAGGTTTGTGGTGACACGCTTTGTTTGACTAAGATGTTTTTAGTTTATGACAAGAAATTAAGCCAAAGGAGAAACTACTAGAAATCTTATCATTTATATTTGCTTAAAATGCATTCAAATAGTTTCCATATACTTGCCAACATATTTTTAAGCTGACTATTAGTAACATTTTCTGGGCATTAACTATCAGATACATCCATGTAAATCGGTAGCGTGCTGCAAGTAGCATGAGGAGTTTTGTGATTAATATGATTAACACACCAGCTACACGTGATTTAATGTTAGTTTATATTTGGGGAAATGCTTATGAGCTCCTCATACTTTATAACCACATAGAAAGGACTCTATACACAGCTTTAATATATTTCTATCTTTAACTTTGAGCACATATTGTTAATCTTAATACTGGGTTGATGAGATCAGGCATTCATAGACAAAGTGTATGCTTTTCCCACAGGATAGACCCTTCTATTTTTCCCCTCTCTCATTCTTTCCTCATCTCTGTCCTCTCTGTCCTTAATCCATCTCCCTACCATCTCAACGCTCCCATGCCGACTTGAAGGCTTGTCCTTGAAGTGTTTTTTTCTTTTTTTTGCTGTGGCCTTGCTTGTGTTGTTATGGTGTGTTCCCTCTTAAAAAGAACTACCTCTTCTGTCAGGTCACTTACCATCATCCTCTACTCCTTTTTATCATTTTCCTCTTTGTTTCTGTGTTTTTTCATACTTAAGGCAGACCCACTTCCATGCTCTAGCAGTTGACCTTCAGCATTTTAGTTAAGTGGAGCCCATTTACAAAAAGCTCTCTTCACCTGTCTGCACTGAGTGCCCTTATCTGCCTTCCCTATAATTTTCTATGCAACGAACTGGCTGATATTATTGCAGAGTCTGAATATTGCTCTATTATGTCTTCTTTTTTTAATGCTTGATTTTTTTGGGGGGTTCTTTTTTTATTGGAACTGCAGTCTGGGCTGTGCATCCTCATTCTTAAGTGCTGTTTGAATTTTGAATACTACATTTTGTAATGGCATCAACATTGACTTGATGCTTTCTTGTCTTTGCAGATATCTTCAGTGATCTGTGTACAGCAGCTCTCTCCGACTCTGAAAATGAAGCCAATACATGGGGAGATGTGTCTCAGGACAGCAAATAAACATGGATGACCACTATAGTTCATTATATTTAACTACAAATATGGCTGATGACTATAACTGTAGGTTTTTTTAACTGTAATTTCCTAAGCTGGACAATTCTAGGTTTTCTACTTGTAGCTCTTATTAATGAATTTGCAAATATGGCCTGCTATTGTTTTTCAAATGTAGTTTTTTTTAGAAAAAAGCCTGCCTGAATGCCACAGTAGGAAAGCCATATAAGGTTTTTAATTCAAGGAAGTGCCAGCATGTCTCTGTGGGGAACTGAAGCTTTCATGGATGCTGAACTGAAAGTTAAATCATTACTTTCTGTGGAGAATGCTGGATGCCTGGAAATGTAAAACCTTTTCTGACCTGGATAACCTTAGGGAAAGTGACAATTTCCATGTGCTGGTTGTAAGCAGGCTTTGGGGAGGCGGCCTGGTTTGCTGTTACCCTGCACTGAAGCAGAACTCTTTAAGATCAAATTCTTACACTGATGCCCAAATGTTTCAGCATTTCATGTTCAAAATATATATAATTAATTGCAAGTTGTTTTCTTTGGTTTTCTCAATCCTAGTGGAGCACGCACACGAATTATATCAAGTATAGAGTTGCTTCAGAGACTATTCTGACTACTTCACACTCGTACAGGTTTTCAACCATCATCATGTGTGTCCTTTGCATGTTTTCCCTGTGTTTGCGTGGGTTATCTCTGGATACTCCAGCTTCCTCCCACAGTCCAAAGACATGCAGTTAGTGAGGATAGGTTGACTGGCAACTTAAATTGCCCCTAGGTGTGGTTGCAGATGTGAATGTGAATGCAAATGGCTGTCTGTGTCTATGTGTTAGCCCTGTGACAGATTGGCCACCTGTCCAGGGTGTACCCTGCCTCCCGTCCTAAGACAGCTGGGATAGGCTCCAGCCCCCCTGCGACCTTGAAACAGATAAGCAGAAGAGAACGGATGGATGGAAACTTAAAAATCAAATATTACAAAACCGTCTTTGTCACTTTTAAGTTTGCTTTGTTAAGTTTCCGCAACCATTAGACATTAAGTAAATTTTCCAGACACCAAGCTACTTCTGAGTGTGTCAGAAGACCATGTAGATTGTTGCCGACATGGTTCATCTTTTGGCGGATTCTCCCATCAGTGACTGTTCTCACTCGGTTATGTAGTTTGCCTGAAATTATAACTTTAGGAATTGCTGGATTAGTTTTTTTTGTTTGTTTATTTCTTTGTTTTTCCATTTTACAATATTTAATGGCACTGAGGTCAGCTTAATTAATAAAGAAAAGTCTGATTTTTCCCCCCCTGTGTATATAAATTCCTTGTGTATATTTAAACCTATTTAATAATAGGTCAGTGAATAGATCTGAATACTTTCTGAAGTAACTCCTTCCCCACTGTCTGTTAGACTCACAAACAATGTGTGTAATTTGCCAAATGGCTGGAAATTACTCACCAAACAACCAGAGAGCTAGGGCTGAACACATCGGTTTGCTGAATGCAATAACATATGAATATAGCCTTTGTTTTTATGTCATACGGGGACAGAAACTGGAAGAAGACTTGAAGTCAATTTGTCTTCTGGTAACAAGTAAAGAACTGTGCAGATTGTGTATCATTAACTGTCTAAAAACAGCTTTTTGCTCCATGCAAAAACAAAGTTGATGAGAGTGGTGTGTTGATGAGACCGAAGTGCAAAGAGAAGGCTGTAATACTAAAAGAACTCAGCAGAACTGCAGAGTTGGATGTCACTAGAAGCAAACCCGTTTAATTTACACATATCTGTCTCATTGTTCATATAAAATGCATTCATTTGTTCAGTTTTAGTTCCAAAGTCTGCTGCTGTATCAGGGGTGCAAAATGTGAGGAAAAGTCATTCAAGAAGAATTTCCTTTATCAGTTAATGATAGCTAATTACTCTCTATCAGAAAATACATGAGAAGTAAAACAATCATGTTTTCCATTTTATGCTCAATGAATAGCACACAGAAGAAGTCAAAAGGCTTTTGATGGAGATGAAGCATTAATGTTTAAGGAAATGGAATTATCTCTACGATGTGTTGAGCTGCATGCCACCGAGATAAAGTAAGACTCATTTTTACATAATGAGATTTTCACTACCAATCTTGTTAAGAACATTTCACACTTTGATTCCCTGCATGCCAGCTGCTATTTAAAGACAGGAGTTATGGTATTCATACATAGTTTCTGATTTGTGTGCATGCACTGTACAATAGCTAGAAAATGTGCTTTCTAAGCAATCGAATCCCAGATATGAGTTTCTGCAAGGGTGACTTCATGCCACTGTGAGAAAGCTCATTTTTAAATTGAGAACATTCCAAATATTGTATTAATTTACGCTCACAGATTCCCTATTGAGGAATTCTTTTATCTCTGTGTTTGTGTTGCCTTAACTAATTCGTAGAAGCATACTCACCGAGAAACCCAATTGATCATATTCCAACCTTGGAATTTATTGAAGGATTTAGTTTTTCTGCTGAATCCAAGCAATAGTTCAGCTTTGCAACATGTTATTGGATTCATGACAGTTGTTTGAGGTCCAGCTGAAAGTGCTTACACCCGTGTTTTTGCTGCTGAGAAGTTAGCATTTGTTCCCACCTTCAGTTTTGTAGTTGAAATGCATTTCTCTGACAGATAGCACTCATGCCCTTTTTTCTCCCCAAAGTAAACTTCACTATGTTGTGGAAAAAGTCAGGGAAGTTTGTTTTTCTTTTTTCAGGGAAAATATTTTTAGTAAACAGCACCATTTTTTCTAAGGTTTCATAAGGTGTATAATGTTTTTTTGGTGTTGTTGTTCTTTTGGATCTGTAGACTGGACATAGGACTTGGTGAGGGCCACGGACACATTTGACAAATGTAAACAAACATCAGTGTTAGCATAATTTTGAGGGATCCATTTTATGTATAACTGCTGTATTGCCGTACTCCATTGCTCCCTCACAGGCTTTTCAACACTGTATTGCATTTCTACTGCTAGGATGAATTGTATAGATTAGTCACTGCGGAAGCAGAACTGTAGCTGCAGATAAATGGCATATTATATGACAGCAAGGATAATGCAACACAAACGCTGCCATTCTGTCAAATGCTGCTGGCATTTCACACATGTACATCATGTCCCTTGGTTTGATGCCTCTGTGAATCAGCCATAAAGATATTTGAGACTGAGAGATAACTGTCCTTTTCTAAACAAAGAACACATCTGGAAGTTAAAGATGGAAAGCCATAAGGGTGTACTCACACCAAGCACAGTTTCCTACTACCATGCCTGGGCACAATATCCCCATTTCCTCACTGCCCCATGGTCATGCTGCCCTTAGCAACCTGGTCCAGTTCATCTCAGTATTTCAACTCAACTCTTTCCTGCTCACTCTGTGCATCATTCACACACACTTTTGAAAACAACGTTTAAAGAGCATAATGAGGTTCATGATTTAATGTAGCTTAATAGCAATATTTTGGGAGTTATGAGAAACTGCCCCCTCACATGCCTTGCAGATTACCTTACATGGTGATTTTTGCATAAATGATGGAGTTCTTTCTTGGGTGTGGTTTAATGATTGCTCTAGGTGGAATCAAGTACTGATTAACATACTGCTTAATATAACTGACACTCTCATTTTACTTGCACATATTGATTTAAGGACTTGACTATGTTTGACAAAGGTTGTGGTTTAGATTAAATATACCTCTTCATTATCTGAAATCTATGCGTTTAAAAGAAAATGATGGTTACCTAGTGTGGTTAAACACGTGAAATGGTATTTGTAAGTATGTATTATATGTAAATAGTTTAGAGTAAATTCATCTCATAGTTGCCACATATCTATATCATTGTAGCACCAACAACAAAGGAATTTTGAATGTATGTGTGAACTGCCAGTGTCTTTGTCAAAAAGGCATCATTTGACATCCTCTGAATGAGAACTGGCTAGAAAACGACTTATTTGATTTTCATTTAGATGGTAAATCTTAGAAATGGAAACAAGAAAACCAAAAGATATCAAACAACAAAGTCTTCATACAATACATGTTAGAACATAGGATTGAACCTTGTTACAAACCACAAGTAAGTAGCGTTGATCAGTCTTTGAAAAGACAAGTTTAAGATGAGCAGTGGATGGATAGATGCTTAGAAGGGTTCATGGGTGGATGAGAAGTGAATGGATACATGAGAATTCCAAAGGATGGATGAGAAAAATTGGCTTGACAGACTGCTGTGTGACGGGCGAGGCATGGATAGATTGTTGGTTAGAAGAGTGAATGGACAGATTTGACGACACTGTAAATGGGTTAGCATTTGCAAGAGAAAGCAAAACTAAAGTGAAGTTGATATGCATTGATATTCTGATTATACAGAAATGCAGTCCTCTTGAATATGCTGTATATTTTGTTCATGCTATGTTTAAAATATATCTTTGCAATGAAAATATTTCTCTTGTACTGCCATATTTAAGCATATTATAGAATGTATCAAGTCTGTATATTGTATCTGTCATCTGATGTACATATTGCATTGCTTTGTTGTGATAATATGCATTTACAATGTAAATTTTGTCACAGTTTCATTTCTTATTTCAAATATATTCGATTATTCCTAACTTGGGCTAGATTGTTTTACTTCTGCTAAAAAAAATGTTTCTACATGTGCAAGAAAAGTATATGCAAAGTCTTTTTATAAAACAGGATAATTTTACTGCTGGCATTTCACAGAGCAATCTCTATTTCAATATCTGTTGTATTAGGGTCTCTCTCCCCCCCATTATTCATTAGAGAAACCATTTTCACCCAGTAAATTAATGTAATCTACCAAATAACACACAGCAACTTTGGTAAGCACAAACAGAAGGTTCCAATCTATAAAAGAAGTGGCTTTGTTTCTGAATGGCCTCAAAATACATTGTTTGCATCTGTCTTGGGAATAATAAAGATTGTGTTGAAAAGTCCACAGATTGCATTTACCCCACAATCAAAATGAGCAAACAAGTCCTTTTATTTCTTTATTTGATTTAATTTATTAATTTGGTGCCAAATCCCAACGATTGTCATCTCAAGTCACATATAGTTACATGAAGATCTCCCTCATGAGTAAGCAGTTAGAGGCAAAACTCCCACTTAAGAGGCAGAAACTTCCAACAGATCAAGGCTCAGGGAGGGCAGCCATCTGCCATGGCCAGGAAGGTTGAGAGGAATGAGAAGAGAGAAAAGAAGAGCACAGAGAGAACGTAAGCACCAGTTCCACTAATGTAACATTTTCCCAAACTAAAGACTATAGCAGGAAGTGCAGGGCTGGTCAATTGTTCCTGCTTTATAACTATAAATGTAGTAAAACATATCCTTTTAGCCCATGACACAAACTAAAATGCTGAGAAAATGTTACTTACAGTATATCATTAACATTAACGTGACTGCAGCAAACTCATCATTCTTTTACAAACCTCTAAGAGGAAATCTTTCCCAGTCATCACTGATGTAATTGCAAGGTATCTATACATCCTTGACATTTTTTTATTGTCAGTTGTCAATGTAGATTCATCAGAGGAGTAAAACACATACATTCTACTTGTACTGTAACAGGAAATTTGCCGTGCCTGTAAAAGTAGTTGGATACAGCCTCTTTGTTATCGGTTGAGCCGAAGATTGAACCCTGTAGACTAATAATTCAGCAAACATAAGCCCTGAGACTAAGAAAAAAAAAAGGCACAGGGAGAATATAAAGGAGATGTGATTTCCAACACCTCACCATGTTCCCGATCTACCAGACAAGACTCGTGTGAAGAAAAGATGGGTGTTCAAACAAGATGTTATTAAAGTCTGTGCCAGCAGGCGGTGAATTCAGGGGCTGTCAGAGAAGAATCCTCTGCTTGTCATCGCAGCTTGTTTTATTTTGATTTAAAACTGTATTAAAATGATTTAAGGCTGTATTGAAATGAAAGGCAATTATTGCAAGTTGGGTTGTTAAAGAGAAAGACAAAGAGATAAAACAGGCAGTATCTTCACTCTTCACACATTAAAGTATGTGATGAAATACAAGCATCATGAAAAGCCCTGGTTTATTTCTATTCTGTTGTCAGTGATCGGTGGCTTCTCAGGTATGGTGGAGGGTTGGCATTGCATCATTATCATTCAAACTGAGTCTCTGATCCCCCTTCAAGAGGAAGAGAGCAGGCTATTAATGTTAGACTTGAAGCATAATGTATTCTCTCTGTATTTGACTGGTGTGAACTCTTTTTTTTCCTATTCACTACCCCTAGATGAAAACATAATTTAAAGAGATAAGATGAGTGTTTTAAAGTCTTAAATGCTCCAGATTGTCTTTCTGGCCTCAGACATTGACATGGAATTAAGTTAGGTTACCATTTTTATCAGAGTGCTCGCGGGTGTCTTCTAAAAACATGCATTATGCAAGAAACATAAAGAAAGAAATCAACTAAAGTGTGTATATTGCTTATATTTAACATTCAATATACATCTTGAACATAGTCTCGATCAATTATTCTTATTAAAACTAATAAATCATTATCTGAATGCTTTCTAATTCCCAGTAATAGTTCATCTGCTTTTTAGTGCAAGTATCTAATAAGCCATTTAGCAGCTTGCTTAATTTAGGCATGTACACATGGTCGAAAAAAATGGCTGAAACTAAAGAGCAGCATCAGAACAGGGAGAAAAAGCCATGTAAGTGACTTTGATCGTGACATGGTTGTTGGTGCCAAACAGCTGGTGTGACCTACACAACTATCTCTAGGGTTCACAGAAAATATTCAATATTCTTAGAAATCTGAGGTGAATGATAAGGCTGCTTTGAGCTGACAAGAAAGCAACACAAATACTGTAACTGCTACAACCAAGACATGCAGAAGAAGTTCTCTGGCTGCACAACAGAAGAGACAATTAGAAGACCGCACCATATGACCCTCATGTCAGCTAAAAATTGGACAGTAAAGTTTGAAAAGATATTGCCTAGCCTGATGAGTCTTGATTTCTGCTACAACATTTGGATGGTAGACCTTGAATTTGACATAAACAAGATGACAGCATGGATCCATCCTGCATTGTATCAATGATTTCACTTGTTGGTGGTGTGATGGTGTATGGCATATTTTCTTGGTACACAGCAACTGAGAATTTTTTGAAATGCTAGATCCCACTTGAGTATTGTTGCTGACCATCCCCATCTATTTATGACTACAGTTTACTAATCCCCTGATGGCTGCTGCAAATGACCTCCACAATAACAAGATCGCATTCCAAAAGAGCATCTTTGGGATGCGGACGAACATGGACGAAACTTTCTGATGAATGTTTCTAGCACCTTCTTGAATTCACAGACAACTCTGTGGATTCAAACAGTTCTGGCAAAAGAGGTTCTCACCCAGTACTAGCAAGGTGCACTTAATAAAGTGAATGTAGAAATCATAAATAAGAAAACTATCAGGAAAACATTTTTCTGTAAGTTTATGGTCTCGGCCTCTAGCTTCACATCTTCTTCAGTGCACTGTGATATTCATTTTTTAAATAATTGTCTATTTTGCATAAAGTGGTCTTCTGCTGTTGTAGCTAGAGGTGTGTGGGCTATAACAGCAGAAGACCACTTTATGCATATTGCATATGAATTTTTTTGTTCACCACAATCCCAATAAGTAGTTACCTTTCTGTCACCTATACCAGCCTGGAAACCTCTGCTATCAACAATCCCTCCACAGAACTGCCACCCACAGATTTTTTTTTCCCACAGGAGAACAGCGGTTTCAGAAACACTGAAAACAACCTGTCTGTCTGAATATGTAGGTGTGCGTTCATAATGAAGTACTTAGGTTGTGGGTGACAGAGCACTAAAGAGAGGGGACTGAGCTTGAACTTTAAAGGTTTGAGGAAGACAAAGCTGCATAGAAGAAGATAAGGTCCTGACAAAGCTTTGTTCTGTGGCGTGAACCTCCTGAGGGCTAAATACAGAAAGACAGAGACCGAATGTGTGTGCATCAGTTAGATGACTGCAGGAGTGGTTCGACAGCTCAGGAATGCGAAAAGCATACTAAGGCTCTCACAAAAGTCAAAGCAGTGGAAGAAAAACAAAGGAATTGCTGGAAGTCACTGTCTTCACTGTCTTCCAGACCAAGTGCTGCTAGCCAAAGGGCCACTGATGTGTGTGTGTGTGTGTGTGTGTGTGTGTGTGTGTGTGTG